CATAGTTATATTTCAGTAAGTAACATAATAAACTTCCAAACCGCTTTTAATGTTGTGTGATGTCCTGCTTATCTATTTGAAACACTTTTCCTGTGTATCCCACAGGAAAAACAGATGTAATTAGAACAATACAGTCTTACTATGTTTCCAAAAATAACTGAAGTTGCAGCCAGATATGTGCAAGAGAGAAGGGGGAATATAAAATTAAGGGGTGCTTCTCCCCAATCAAATCCAGATCACATTTTTAATCAAATGACATCGATTAAACAAATTTTCTTCCTCACAACAAATGAAATACTGACTTTAAAAGATTTGCAGCTTCACAAATTCATTTAGGATGATGAAGTAGTGAATTTTGTTCTAGTATAAATTTTCCCAAAAGAGAATTGATGCATAAAATATAGCAACCTATACCTCACCCTAGGTCGGAGGTGATGGTGCAAAAAGGAAATATAGAATTTTATCAGGCCCCTGTCAGGAGGCAGGAAGAGAAAAAAAAATCCTCTTACTAGTAATTCTTTAAAGTTAAACCAAGCAAAGCTGAGGCAAATCAAATTTTGCATTCTAAGAAATGTCTGTTGAGATTCTCAATCAACCAAGTCATGGTTCTCCCAAAAGTGCTTTTTCCAAAAGGCAACTGGACTTTTTTGGTTTCAACAAGAAAGCCCGGTTGCCTTTTGGAAAAAGCACCTTTGGGGCATGGAAACATTATAGGCACTCCTCATTAAATGACTAGGCATTTTACAACAATTCAAACTTACAATGCCCACAAAAGAGGTGCTTTATGTCCTTTGGAGCACCTTGCCTGTTATAAATCATCATGCACCCCCCCCTTCAGTCACATGCTCCCATGTTGGGTAGGTCAACTTAATTCTGGGCTCAATTCTGGTGATAAATTGAGGAATAATTGTACTGACATTACCTTCCAGCTGATACCACTCCACCTCCAAGTTAGGCTGTTCTGACTTAGGCTTCCCCAAACCAGAAGCAGACTCCTTGTCCTGACAAAAAACCCTTTTTATTAAGTTACTGTGAATGCCTCATTCACATCCAGCAAATCTTTCAAGGGTGAATATACAGTCACAGACCTTATCTGGCTTGGAGAGCTGACAGGCCGATATCTTCAAAACTTGGCAAGAAGCCTATGAGAATCACAAACCAATTAAGCGAACTAATTGTCTCCTGCAAACTCCACTCCCCTTTCGCTCCTCTTTTATTCCCTATGGGAGGGGCCATTTATCGTTCACCTGTGGCCTTAAACCCAAGTCAGCCCTTGCTCCTTAGCTGTTTATATGTTTATAGATTGAAAAGGCCTTTACTTTCACAGTACACCAAATACCTGCTCTCTGATCTATTCCCCCTTTCTTCCACCAACGTTGGTAGCCCATAAGAGTTACAAATACCTCTCCTAGGAGCTAGGAAGGCAATATCTTCCCTGGAATATTATTCTAAGACCCTTAGGACTGGAGCATAAATACAAATATAGAAAACAGCCAGTCAGAGAGAAATCCACTTATTCCTTAAAAGCTTCTATATTTTCATTTCTATATTTGAGGAGATTTTTTTTAGTATATGTATTTTTTTCCAAATCAGTTTTTCCAAAATTATAAAAGATAGTTCAGTAAAACATAACATCCCCAAAAGTTTAAACTTAAATCTGGTTAAAAAGCTTTCACATAAACAAAGAAAAGAAACCACTCCAAATAAAATATTATTGATTATAAGATTAACATATAGAGATTACCACTCCATATTTGGGAAGATAAAAAGTTGTACATTTGCCAAAGATGTATAAATTGACATGCACTGTGCAAATTAATGAAAGGTTGCCATTCATCTCTAGATAAAAATAAGCTGTGTACCTGAACAATAGTAATCATGAGAAAACAATTAAAGTAGCCAAGAAATCAACCCAGATTTCTCATTTGAGGCACAAATGACCAGGCTCAAATTATCTTACTTTGGACAATATGTGAACACCTAGCTCTCTGAAAAAGGATCTAATGCTGGGAAAGGTGGAAGGAAAGAGAAGAGGACAACCAACAGAAAGGATAGACAGATTCATTTACAGTGGTGATGGATGCGCTGCTGGAAGATTTGAAGGACCAATCTGTCCCTAATTGTCATGGAGAAAATCTATCTGTGCGGTTGTTAAGAGCTGACACCTATCTATTGCACATAATCAGTTGGATGGCCCAGCCTTTACAAGACTCTGAAGAGACAAGATTCATGGCACTCTGGAGAAGAATGGGACAAGTCCCTGCGGCCAATTCTCCACTGCCAACTCTCCACAACCAGCTCACCACAGGACAATTTACCATCATTTAAAAAGGGAAGAAAAATAAGGAATAGAGAGCAATGATGAGGCATTTCATTTGGATGATAAGCAAGGAAAGTTTTAAAACCACAATTTATGATGACTTCAAGCTTAAATGACTGCGTACAAGGAACTTCAGAATATTCAGATCAAAATAATTATAACAGGAATAACACCAGATATGTTTTAAAGGATGAACTGAGATGTATTGTCAGCATGATGTTGATGAATAGTTTAATAACTGCCTGCACAGTAATCCCTGACTTTATAGCTACTCAGAAGTAAATCCTATTAATAGGATTTACTCTCAGAAAAATTATAAGCCTTGATTGCTCTCCTTATGCAGATACGTATTCAGAACTTAAATTCCACAGAATTTCATGAGACTTATTTCCAAGAATATTCATTATGTCTGGTATGAGTTTCCAATCTATGAATTCATTGTTTTTGTTTTCTTCTTTCTTTCTTTTTTTTAAAAAAGTACCAGGCAGAGATACTTAACCTTTGTATCTAATATTTTTCCATTTGTTTACTTACCATTAATATTTTTTCTGATTTCAGTATAAACTGTCTCATTATTCATTACAGGAGCTGGAAAATAAAATCAGTGTAGAATCAGTGTAGAAACTATCTTTTAAATGGGTCAAAATAAACTATCGAGGTGGCTGGGAAGCTAACCAATGTGGCTGCTTCCAATATAGCTGAGGGAGGCCATATTTCTCTATTTTGTTTAGTCCCTAACCAGTGGGTAAGGCACTGAACCATGGTTTAATCTACAGAGGTCACTTCTGCATCAGTGACTTCCTTGGCTTCTAGCATCTTCATGGCATCACTCAGCTCTTGATGAAGTAATATACAGCCAGTTCTCATTGCTGTTATTTTTGCAGAAGAATGATTGGATGACTCCAGAAAATGCTATAAACCACTTGTGTGGAAATGATCTGTCAGTTATCTCTTGCAAATGTGAACAGAATTTATTTCTATACCTTCCTTTTTTTTTCTGTCCTCCTGAAAGATTGTTATGAATGTGTCTAATAAACAACATCCTTAATTCAGGTAATTAATTCTCTGACAAATTATTCTTCTGATCAAAATACAACGTAGGTGACCAGATGGCTCCTTCTATATCTTCCTCCCCATTACAAATCTTTCAAAAAATGATAGGCTAATGATTTTTATCCAGGAAAGCATATCCATCACTCATTCGTCATTTATTTTTTATGAGAGGATCCTACCGTCAGCTTTCAATAATATTATATACAAGGATACATTTTTAATAACAACCAAGATGCTGTTATTAAGTTTCTGCACCAAACTGATTGCACGTAGGAGTTTTAAAAAATTGGAACCTTATGCAAACCTGGAAGTGAGACATTCAGTCTTGTTTTGTAGAAGAAAGGAAATGTGCTGGCATGACAGCTTGGGAGGGTTTTTTAACCTTTTAAGGATTTCTGTTTAAAATATCAAATGAGATCATCCCTGCCTATGAGGCCCTAAAAGCTCTGTTAAGGTGTGGCCCGCTTTCTAAGTTCATATACAAGCACTCACAAAACTAACATGAACTAATCACAATTTTACCTAGGTTGCTCATATCTAAGACTCTGGATTCAAGACATTACCAGATTGTGTCTTTAAATCTGCTGGGAGAAATGCCAAGACATTTCGTTGACTAATTGTGGTGGGACTCCAAACTGGCCAAATAAATTGGTCCTTAGCACCCTTATGCTACTCCCCCCTTGCCAGGGAGGGAAAGGAGTATGTTCCTGCTCACACCAATCCATTTATTTGTCTACTGGGGGTTATCACACAAGCCTTTTAGAGGCTCCATTAATTGAACGTATGGCAGGAAGGAAATACTCCAAGAAAAGCTTCAGGAGGACAGGAGATATAGGCCCTGAAGGATAGTTTTGCATGAACTGGGGATACGTATTGCTCTCTAAGCTAGCCAACAGGGAAAAATAATTCCATAGGCAGACATCTTACCATAGATGAGCAGAACTCAAGCCCTAGAAGACAGATATAGTGACGTTATCCTCAGACCTACTAGGCAGCCCTGAGGGTGGAATGTAGGACCTTTAAGGGGCACCAGGTTGGGGAGATATATTTAAGCCTCAGTTGTCTACATCCATCTTCTGGTGTGGTAACTTTTATACAGCTAGTTTTCTGAAGTCAACTTAATACGGATTTATTTCCATCAAGAGAAAAATTCTGAAGTTGTTTCTCATGCTGGCGCCCCATAGACTATAGTCTGATTTCTTTTCCCTCCTCCCTTCCAAAACCCTTCTGCTCTGGAGAAAAGGGAAGTTTTCAGACCCAATTGCAAGGCAGCCGTTGGAAGAAAAGAGCAGGAAATGAGAAGGGTCCACTTGTTCAGTGTATGCTTTAATCTGCTGTTCAGAAGGCTGAAGGCAGAACTGAACGGAATAGCTTTGATAGCTTTTTCAGGCTAATGATTCAGTGCAGGTGGCCCATCTTGTCACAATGAACAGGATAAAAGGCTGGTTTGTTAATTAATAAACAAGCTAGAAGGAAGAGAGCTTCTGGCTCTTGAAGCAGGGCCTGTATTTCTTCCTGTTTATCCAGGCCTAAATGTGACTGCTTCTGAAAAAAAAAAGATTTCGGGAACTACCCATCAATCTCACAGTTGTTCTGGATACACTGTGTCCCAAGATGTCCTCCTTACCTCGGTGAGGGTCAGGCACCGATACTTGTACTTCTGTATATTCCACTTCAGGAGCCTCAAGGTCAGATCCTGCCACAAGCAGAGTAAGAAAACATTTGTTGCTGTTGCGCTCCAAAACAACTGAGAAGTTGCATATGGCCTTTGGACTTTGGTTCAAGTTGATCTTATTTCCACTGACTTTATAAAAACAATGCAGGCATTTCTCTAAATGACTACATATGTGTGTTTTCCTCCAGCAAACACCTTACGGCTTGGTATGATGTATAAACCAGCAGATTAAGACATGGTGTTTTCATGCAACACATTAAGCCAGTGATGTCTAACCTTTTTGTTGAGGCGTGCCAAAAGCAGGGGGAGCGGGGGGGAGCGCATGCGTGTATCCACAACCATAATGCTATGCCCTTTCCCCGTGCATGCACAACCACCCCCCACATATGTGCACAGGCCTCATTGAAGCCTCTGGAGGGAGAAAATCGGTCCAACTGGAAAACCGGAAGTTCAGGAATGGACTTACGGATTGCCCGTAAAATCAGCTTGCCAGCATGCACATGCACGCTGGAGCTGACAGGGTAACGCCTTGCATGCCGTCAGAAATGCCCCCTGGCACATGTGCCATAGGTTTGCCATCAAGGCATTAAGCCAAGGTTTGATGAAAGAAAGAAAAAACATACCACCACACTTAGTGTGTTCACTTTTGTATAATTTCTGTTTGGAGAAGTATAATTAACCAACTAACCAACACATCAAAAATATTAATACAGTGATAATGAAGTAAAAACTTACCTACCCTATAGTGATTAATGGGGGGGGGGGAATCTAAATGCTTATTTTGTATTTATATCATAAATTTCTTATTCTTTTTTTTATCCTTTATTTCTTAGTTTCATTCCTGTAAACCTTTCGTTTTTCCCTTGATTAATTGCCTGCCTGATTATAGACTTTATTGACTATATTATAATTATTATAGAATTAATTGATGGGCTCATTATAGGTGGTGTTAACAGAAGAATAGAATGAAGAACATGCGAAGTATTACAGCACTTTATAAAACTATAGTAAGGCCACACTTGGAATACTGCATCCAGTTTTGGTCACCATGATATGAAAAAGATGTTGACTCTCTAGTAGAAAGAGTGCAGAAAAGAGCAACAAAGATGGTTAGGGGCAGGGATGGGTTGCTCCGGGCATAAGAGCCAAGGTGGCGCAGTGGTTAAATGCAGCACTGCAGGCTACTGCTAGATCAGCAGTTCAGCGGTTCAAATCTCACCGGCTCAGGGTTGAC